ATGGTGGGAAAAGAGAGACAGCAGTGATGTGTGAGGGTTCATTAATTACTGCTCTTACTGATGTTTGCACAGTCTGTTGGGATCATAAATGTCAATCTGTCAAGAGACTGTGATAGGTTCTAAAAAAACTGATTGAGTACCTCAAAAGCTGTCATGGAGCCTGAGATTAAACAGATTCATCTTTCTTTCTTAGAAGTGAGGGAAGGTGTGGGTGAAGGGAATAGAAGACTTCCTTCTTTGTTGCTGGTTGATTCTCCTGCTCGCCTATTCTAAATTGTGAGTGTTTGGCTTGTACAAGGGCCTTCAAGCCTGCCTGAGATGTCAGAAGGCCACAGTCATGGTTAGCAGCCTCAGGTGAGGGGCACTGCCAGCTATACAGGGATGGAAGATTTAGAGGGATTGGGATTTGATTCTGATGGGCCTGACACAATTTATTTGGAAATTTGGGGGAGACAACATGAGTAGTAAAGGCAGAAACAGTGACAGTAAGGAACAAATGTGAATTTCTGTCAGAGACAAAACAGAATTTTAAAAGAAGTAGCTCTGTTTACCATCTCCAGTCAAACTCCAGTTAAACTGTGTTCCTAAATTGTAAGTTTTATCATTACTTTCTGCACTTGACTAGGAAAGAGTACAATTAGAATTTCTCCTTCACAAAATTGTTTTCAAAATCACTGTACTTGTTTATCATAAATTAAGCAGTTGTTAACTTTGAAAGCTGGGAAGCTGATATATGGTGAAATGCTCTTTCTTAAGATTTTCCTTTCTCACTTAATCACATTATAAATCCTGATCAGACTTTCCTTTTACTTAGAAGATCTGATGTAGTATCTTTCTCTGTTGAACACGGACAGAGGGAGTTGGGGTTCTGGCGAGGACGCCAAATGTGAACCTGCCACTAGAGTGTAGCAGCTCTTTCGTGGGTATACAGATTAGATTGTTTGGTCAAGAAAAAGCATACTGGAAAAAATGTGTGTTGTTGGCCCTTTGTGAAGGATCTTAATTAGAGTCACTCTTAACTCTTAGAGTGGGAACAGTTTCTATCTTTGCCACCACAGCTCCTCCTGCTGCTAATGAGCATGCTCCCTGCAAGGACCCTTTCCTCTGACAGTGAAAGCTGCACTTAGAGTTATTTCTGTTCACCTTTCTACCCACATTTAACCCTTGTGGTTCAAGTTCAGATTATGCAAGTAGATTATTCTTAGATGTTTTCCATCATTGTTGAGGAAATTGAAGGTAAAGAGTGAGGTCTGTGAGTGGGAAGTAGATAATTGAAGTTTAATTCAGTGGACAGTAGGTGAGGTTTCCTTTAGTGTGATCAGGTTTGGATCTTTTCTTTCTGGTATCTTTTTAAATTGACAAAATTTATAATTTAATACTTGAATTATTTATTTCATTATTATGTAATTAGAATCCCTACCGTGGACATCTGTTTCTCTTCTTTACGCAACTCCCCCCATGGCACAATTTCATTTAATAATTAGCAAAGAGATGTATATTTCTTATGCAGACATGATGGTAATCCTGTAGACCACTATTTATTTCATTAGCTTCAAATTAAAACACTAAGTTGACTTGTGAAAAAAGGCCAAAGAATGGTTTGCTTCACCAAGAAGTGACAGAACACAGTCACCTTCTTGGAGGGCAGCATGTGGAAGGTGGTCAATAGTTTACGCAGCTTATTTCCACTCCATCTTTGGGCAGTGAACCTCAGAGGGCCCAAGGAGCCCTTTCTATCTAAGAGACCACCAGCTGAGTGAAGGTTAAGTGGGCATACTTCAGAACTTAAAAGTTATAGATTTCTTAATGTCTAAAAATCAGCAGATTTTGATAGACTTGTTCCTCTCTATTAGTTTAGGACCATTGAGAACTGCTTTTTGTGGCTTAGCCTTTCTGTGCGTGGATACCTTTGATCTTAGATAAGCATAGATGCCAAGACATTGACTCTTAGAAGACAGACTGGGGCTGAGTAGGGTTTTTTAAAGGATGTCAAAGGAGTGCAGCCAGGAACTATTACTGGTAGGTATAATGTCCCATACCTTATGCCCAGTAGAACAAGTAACTTAATAGTGTTTATCTGTAATGTTGAATGGATCAAGGAGAACCTCAGCATGAGACCATACATGCTTATTCCCTAGTTTTGTTACTAAATGCTGACTGGTCAGACTAGGTGGGGAATTAAGAGAGGTCAAGTCTAGATAAACTTCCTGACTTGGGATTCTCACCAAGTCACTTTGGTAATAACCACTGGGATCATGATTTTAAATATGAATTCCATTTCCCAATCTTTGGGATCACATTAAAAGATACTTTCTTCACATTGTACTCTCTTGTTTCTATGAAAATATCTTTGGATACCATTTCCCACTGAAATTAAATTGTCTCTCTCCTGGTATCAAAAATTTGTTTTAGAAATGGAGCTGGGTGCTTTGCAAAGAGATAGCATGTTTGACAGTTGGGGGCATATTTATAGGGAAAACCTTTGAATCTAAACTCTGCATTTCTAGATATACACTCACTTCTGTCAGCCAGTGGTATAAATGAAATAGTAAGTTGAGGATCTGAGTGGTCCCCTTTTACATTGGGGGTGTGCCAACATCATGTCAAAGCCCTCTCAATGTTAACAGTGTCAATAGTGAAAAGTTTCAGCTGCTTCCCTTTCTTTTGTGGACCTTTCTCACTCCCCTCATACTCAGGCATTAGAGATGATTTCTTATCAGGATGCTGTAGCTTTAGGACCTTGTATCAGAGCAAACACCATTTTATTGGTTATGAATTTTACTGTAGAATTTTCTCCTGTTGTTACGAAAAAAATTGTATGTCTAAATAGGATTATTAATACAAATAGTGTGTGGCTGGTTTGTGAAAAAGGACCCCCCCAGAGAGCACCGAGGTTTATACAAGGTGAATTCCTTTTGGCTGGCTGCTTTGTAATGATTTACATTTAGATTGTTGCTTGTTTCACTTGTAGAGAAAAGGGGAGGGGGCATGGCATGTCTATGGCTGCCTCAGTCATCACACCAACTGGTTTTGGACAGCTTCACTCAGCAGAGCTGGGAAATAGGCTGAACTTGCTTTCAATTGTTTTCATCAGAGGCCTTGTTAAGTTGGTTTGTATTGGGGGGAAATGTCATGTAGGGCTGCAACAACTAAATGAAATGAAGAATGAAGTCTACAATTGCTAAGAATGGCTTATGCCTTCTGTAAGTCAGTGCACAGATAGGGGGACTATGGGCAAACTCTCCCGTCATGACTGTCAGGGCCAATGAGTGCTCTCATATGAAGTATAGCATCTTCCTCACACAGAAGGAGGCTGGGGGAAGGGATCCAGCCAGCCTGCAGTGAAATACATCTAACAGTTTGTTACTGTTCTCTCAAGCACTTTAAATAGAAAATCTAGATTGCCTAGAAGATTCATTCATTCCAGATATGTTTGTTTTAGGCATGGAGGACACATCAGTGAACAAACAGGTGAAACTTCTTACCCTCTAGGATTTTACTTGCTTCTGGGAATAATGTTAAAAGCTATTTCCCGTAGAAGATTAAAAGGCAGCAAAAGAGAGGAGAAATGGTAGGACTAGGGTGACCATGAAAGACGAGACATCATTGAAAATGTGGCTTAAAAGTCTTGAAAAAAGTAAAATCTCAGGTAGGTGTGGGTGAAGAGTGTTTTACAGGGAGCAGTCAAGTGAAGGAGACAAGAAGGAGACTGTAGTCCTTGGAGCAAAGGAAGAGTGAATAGCAGGAGATCGGATGAGAGAGTTGAGAAGAGGTCAGACAATACAGGCAGGTTCTTTTGAGCACTGAAGTATCTGAATTTTTACCCTGAGGATCTAAGCAATTGGAGAGTTTTAAGCAGGGAAGTGAAATGATTTTAGCTTGACTTCTAACAGAATCACTTGACTGCTATGTGGAAAAAGAATTGTAAGGGGGGAAAAGGATGAACAGGGGACCAGTTAAGAGTCTCTTACAGTAGTAGGTTGGATGAGACCAGTATGGTAATAGTAGACGAGGGAGATGTGGTAAAATCTTAATTTATTTTCAGGATCATTTAGGAGACTCCCAGAGGTGGTTTAGCACAAACCACTTTGGAACTTTGGCAAGAGGTATATCCTCAGTAAGCAGTAGCAACACTTTGAGGAGTGCAGAACTCCCCAGGTACTGTCCCTGTTTTTGAAGGCAAGAATTCTTTATAGCCAGCCAAAGTTCATTATTGTATTTTAGTTACTTTTTTAAGATTATACAAAATACAAGTTGTCACCCACTATACCTCCTTTCACCTGCCAATTTGGCAAGAGCCCTAGAATTGTAATACCGACTGCCTTTGTACTGCCTTTGTAATACGACTGCCTTTGTACCACCCGTGGAGACTATGGCATAGCCTACTTGTAAGCAAGTGGGCATATTCCTTTACTATGACTGAAGTTGGAATAATTTCCGATAGAACCTGATTCTTGTGTGTTTAGTAGAATATCCTTACCACAGAAGATTAATGGATCACCTACCAAACACCGGCTTTGGGTATGGAATGATACTAATCAAGGATGGCAATATAAAGAAATATTAGACATGCTCCCTTCTTTAAAGAATTATAATGTAATTGAAGATAAGCAAATGTCCAAAAAGAGGTAAATAACCAATTCAAGCAGTAAATAGTGAGGGCTCAAAGAAAGGGGTACAGAGGATTCCATTTCTAGCTTAGTTTTCTCGCGAAGACAGCCATTTTTAAAACAATAATTGAGAACTGATATGTTGACATCTCCACCCCAACCCCTCTTCATGTAGCTAAGGCCTTGCTTTTTAGAAGCCAATCCTGAAAGTACATGCTTGTTATAATTTGTGCTGAATAAACCAGGCCAATTAGAACTGACTCCTGTTCTTTACACGGGTCTAGTTCCTGGAAAGGGTAACTGGTCAGAAGAGTGCCTGGCAGTGCATTAATCAGATGTGCATACCCAGCCAAGCTCTAACCCTGACCCTCATATGTGTTGTTTGGTCAGATTCACAGTCTGAGAATGAGGCCTCTCCAGTGAAACGGCCACGACTACTGGAGAATACTGAACGGTCCGAGGAGACCAGCCGATCTAAACAGAAGAGTCGACGTCGGTGCTTCCAGTGCCAAACCAAGCTGGAGCTGGTGCAGCAGGAATTGGGATCTTGCCGTTGTGGTAAGCATCTCCTGCGGGGTCATGATGGAGACCTGATACCCTGGCATAGCTTTGCAAAGTTTTCCTAAGAGGCTGAAATTCATTCTTCTCCTGAATGCCTCCTGGTAAATTATAGGTTTGGAGCTTAAGAAATCAGGAGTAGAGGTTTCCTACTTTTAAACACCCCCTATTCTGTCTTATACCTGCAAAGAAACGCAAAAACACCTCCCAGCTACTAATACACACACATATATATATATATATATATTATTTTTTAAACATTTATCTATCCATGCATACAAGAGCTGACGTACAGGCCAGGGGTGGGGGAGGGGGTTGAGAGGATTCACCAGAGACAGAGTGGGGAACAGAACAAGCAGACTGACCAAAGCACACTGCTGAGGGGAGCAGCGGGTGAGTTGAACTCGTGCCAGTGGCTGCGGATAGCCTCATAGGCTGCATCTCAACTCTTGCGCCACCAGGGAGGCCCTAATATACATATTTCTTTAGAGTCTCATTGTTACTGCTTACTGCTTTCAGCTTTTCCCAGCTGCGTAGTCTTTCTCATTGATGACTTCATTTAGAAATTAACCAAAACTAGTGAAACTCTGGGATATGTACCATAAAATTCCGATACCAAGTTAATTTTGAATGAGTTTCTTATGTATGTAAAATAAATGAAATATTTCTTGCCTCCTATCACTTTTAGATTGAAGTTTGGTTGGAAAATTATTTTCTCTAAACTGTAATTCACTGTCAGTTAAACTCTTAAAATACCTTTAAAATAACCATTCCTTATTATCCAGTGTAACATCAGGTCCTGGAATTGCTGCATAGGGATTTTTTTTTTTAAAAAACAAAAAACAAAAAACAAAACTTTATGCCTATCCACAGTGGACCAAAACTTAGACCCACCCTTCCTCTTTCTTTGATCACATATATCATATCACATAGGAGCATAATTGTGTAGCTAGGGATTTTTAGGCTGACTTACAGTTTTCCTCTTCTTGTTTTTATTTCTTGATTTTAAAGCACAGCATTATAAACTCGTTCTATGAAACAAGGCTGTCATCAGGCAAAATTTGAAACCTAACTCTATCTTCTGAGAACCCCTGTATCCTTTGTCCTTAGGCATGAGCTTTAGTAGCCTCCTTTCACCTCTGGGACAGCCATAAATAATATCCTGTAAGTACTGATTCTGGCATTTGGGACAGATAGTTCTTTCAGCAGTTATAAAGTTGCAGTTACTCCAAGTCCTTCACCTTGGTTGCTCCTGCCCCTCAATTATCTGTCCTTTTGGAAACGAGAAAGGAAGGAGTGAATACCAGCTTCTCATTAAAACCAAATTGGAACTCCTGTTCATGTTGTAGCAGAAATTCCTATGTGTTATTCAGCAAGATCAGAGTATACATGCAGTTCCAGAATTTGGGACTAGCATGGGAAGCCCAGGGGTCACCAGACAACTTCTTATTTTTTTAGATGGCATGTAATTATCCTATTAAATGCTGTGTGAAAATGTGAAAAAGAGAGGTAGAGTCAAGCTGTAAGCAAAGGCTGTCAGCAGAGTTTTCAAATTTTAGTTGTGTTGTTACATGTGACATGGCTCAGGTGAGCCCAGAATCTTAATCTTATACTATGTCTTGATCAACCCAGCTAGGTAATTTTAAATTCTTGATGAGATACTGAAGGAATACTGTGGTAAGTCAAGGAAACTTTGTGGTCTGATGACCAACCAGCTTTACCCACATTTAAGATTCTTTTGTGGAAATTCTTGCTCTGGTCTTCACAAAAACCCGGGGGTGATGGAGTGGGGAGACGCTGTCCCAGCGGTTCATTCTGTTACCAGTGTTGTGAAGCCTGCCTGACCATCTTACCTATTGCTTTTATAACACAGGCCTATGGTTTTTCCTAAATTAGAAACATTGGATTTTCCTGTCCCTTACATTCTTGTTTCTTTCTTGAAAGTAACTGAATCCCGGGTATTACACAGGATTTGCCCTAGTGGACCAAGCAATTGGTCCATCAAATGTGCTGTCTAGCCTCTGGCAGTGGCTAATACTGCCTTCTTTGCCAGGCAAGCAGTGAGACTTCACAATTTAGCTCTGAGAGATACAGAGGTGTTGTAACCAGGTGTTTTAGTTTACCCTTCAGCTTTGATGCAAACCACCTAATTTTCTAAAGGTCTTAAGCACTTAGCTGAAAAAATTCAGAAATACATGTTAGATGACTTCATGTGCTTTGAAACGAGGCCAAGTGGACTGTCTCTGGTAAGTGCAGATTACCCTGCTGTGTCTTCACCTCTTGGACAGGAGGCTGGGTTTCTAAGTGCCTGTTGGGTTTGCTGCATTCTTTTTAAATGCTCTAATAAGTAATCCTCTGGCTTGTGCTCAATTCTGAGGGTCTACTTATAGAGAGATTTGATTTTTCTGCTGGGGAGGGAAACCCCAAGCTTTCTGTAGTCCCTCCGTATTTAGCCTTCCTAGAGAAAGCTGGAAGTTCAATTTGGCCAACAAAGTATTACACTTATGTACCCAGAAAAATGACTGAGTCAACTACCACATTTTAAAAGGTGAAGCACAGCAATGGGAACATACACCTTTGGGACTATCCTTGACAAGTAGCTCTTGTGTTCCTCCTGCCTGTCCATTTGGGTGTCTCTAGAAAAAGGTGTTTGTGTAGTTATTTCCTTGATAATACATGGAGTGTTCAGAAGACATTTAACTGCCCTGAAAGGTTTAAAGCTGGGGGGAGAGAGGGCGTGGGTGCATAGTTATTTAGTGATTAGAGTGAAAACTCAGGAAAGTAGTTTGATCTCAGAACAGTTCTCCCCTGCAGAAAATCTTTTTATATGTGTATACACACACATGTATGTATGTATATATATAAAATATAAAATTATATATATGTATTTCTTCTCCCCTCCCCCACCCACCCATCTTTTTCCCCCCATTCCCCTTCCACTCTTGTACAGGTTATTAACTGCTGACAAGAAATTCACATCTCATAAATAATGCTTAAGAGCCATTGCTATATAAATTGAATGTGTTATGAATTGTGATGGGCCTTTTTGTAGCATTCGATGCCTAGAGCAGGAAGAACAGAGGATGTCATTTTCATTAATTTCTAATGAGGTGCCAATTAAAGATGGGGAACGAGCTCCAAAGGGAAGAGTGGCCAAGCTCCCCTGAATCCTCCGCCCCAGGGCTGTCATCCAAACACTGCCAGCCAGCCTTCTCTAAAAATTCCATTAAATTACAGTCTCATCGAGAGCACACACAGACACATTCAGCTTCCCTTTGATCTTCAAAAGAGCAATTTGTAAGGCGAGTTCTGAGCCTTCTCACATAGGGTACAGCTAGAGGTGATAGGAATTGTTAATTGCCAAGACACTCCATGGGTTTTCAGTAAGGAGGTGAATTCTGAAGATGAATTCTTCTCTGCCTGGCTATGACTAGATAACCTTTAAATCAACAATACCAATGTAACACCCTTTTCCTGTGAAATCTTTCAGGGTGCCAGTAGAAAAGTCATGTAGTGAGGCAAGGTTGATATCCTGCATCCTCGAGTATCCTCACCACTTTAAATTCTCAAGATAGAAAACAATTGCAATAAAAATGAAATTCTTTATTTCTTTTTCTATTCAGCAGGCAGATTGATCAGCTCATTCTCCTTACAAAAGTCTTACCTCTCCAAATACCACCTAGAGTATGTTTTCCTGAAATCTGGCCATCCTCATCAAATCTGGGCCACATTACAGCCACATAAATGCTCGGTTCTCTAAGCAAACCATGCATGAGGCATCCAGCATGGCTTTCTCAGTGCACTGATTTCCAGAACCACAGAATTAATTTTTAAATACAAGTCTAAGTGTTCACTTATCCCATATTTTCAATTGACAATGACTTAACAAAGTGTAAGCTGATCTGCTCCCTTTTGGAGCAGCAAGGCTTTTACTAACCTCCTAAGTAATCTCACTTCCTCTATTGCTTTCAAAATAAACTATATTCACTTTAGAAACTCAGAGTGATGCTTTAGCTGGGACCTTTTAAAGTAGTTTGTCATTTCTGACTGCCTTAATAATCATTTCTGCCTCATCATTCACTGTCAAATATGTTTGGCAAACATTTATTGAGATAGGGCTGTACAAAAACTGTTTTTGCTAGATTTTATGGAGAACATAGCAGCCATCACTAAGCATTTTTTGAGATATGACTACACAAAAACTGTTTTGCTACATTTTGTGGGGAACACAGGAGCTGGAAATATAAACTATAAGAGCTCATACTCCTGGTCAGTGGTTTGAAACTTGAGTAAGCACTAGAATCCAGGAAAGCTGTGGCTCTCACCATCAGATGTTCTGGTTCTGTAGACCTGTGCATTTTTTTTTTTTTTTTTTTTTTTTTTTTGCTTATTACTTGCCTTCTTTTTTTTTTTTTTTTTTTTTTTAAATATTAAATTTTATTTTTATATTCCCCCATACAATTGCAAACGCCCCATTCTGACCCCAATCCTTCCCCTCCCGCCCCCCACCCCCCCAAAAGTGTCTCTGGTTCATAGTTTTTTTCTTGATTTTGATTTTCACTTTCTTATATTCATTTTCCTGGTCCCTTATTTAAGTTTTCTAGATTCCTGCTATGAGTGAGACCATCCGGTATTTTTCTTTTTCTTTTTGGCTTATTTCGCTGAGCATGATCCCTTCCAGTGCCATCCATGTTGCTGCAAATTGCATGTGTTTATCTTTTTTGAATGCTGAGTAATATTCCATGGTATATATGTACCACATCTTCTTGATCCAGTCATCTATTTTTGGGCATTTGGGTTGTTTCCAAAGCTTAGCTATTGTAAACAGTGCTGCTATAAACATAGGAGTGCAGGTGCTCTTTGGAATTGATGTTTCTGTGTCCTTTGGGTAAATACCTAGGAGTGGAATTGCTGGATCATATGGAAGCTCTATGTTTAGTAGGTCCAGAAATCTCCACACAGCTCTCCATAGTGGTTGGACCAGTTTGCACTCCCACCAA